CCTGAGGTGGGATGGGTGGGTTAGGACAGCAGGTCCACATCAGCTATTACAGCTGCCAAATTAATCAACCTGCTTAAACAAATAAATGAACTACAACTACAACTTTAATTTCTATTTTATTTTATTGCAAAAAATTAATTTTCCGGGAAAATGCCACTAAAAATGCTCGAATAATGCTCAATGCTTTTGCCTCACTAAAATGCTCGAAAAAATGTTAACATAATGTACAAAAGCCTATTGAAGGGATGCCAGTGATGCATGACTTGACCGCCAAAAATTGTAATGAATGTCACGTACCAGTACACGTGTAAAAATTCTTCTTCGTTTTTTGCTGAAATATGTACTTTTTATCGATTTCCGTTTCTTATACGTCATTGTCTGACAATATACAAAGTGTTTATTATTTATCTAAAATATTTTAAATTATATAACAGCAAGGACTCTTTTAGTTTCCGGCGACGGAGCCGTTCGCAGGGGGGGGGGGGGAAATCGCCGGTCGCCGGCCGAAAAGGAAAACCCTGCTGCACTGGTATTGCAGAGGTCATGGGTTCAAATCTCATACAGGCCTAAAACTTTTTTCAGGCCCTATCTTCATGACTGATTAAGTAGTTCGGGTACCATGTAATTGGGGGGAGGGGAGTCTGTGTCCTGTAGTTTTAACTCAAGGGACTGGAAGTAAGATGAGAGAACGTTTCCAACTTTGCAATTAACGTTTCTTCTTTACAAAAAACATATTAAAAAATAAACATTTCAAAAAAACTTAGAGTTATATCTAATTAAATTGCCTTAAAATGTTTACAGGCACCGTAAAGCTAAAATTCAGGGAGTTTTCTGTTTCTTACCTTTCGACATTTCTCCAAGTGGTAAGGAAATCTCTTTGCCCTCACTTTGTGAACCGGGTCGTATGGGCAGATCTTCAGCGCGTTAGGGTCATTTTCCACATTGGAAGTCATGTTTTTCTGTACAATTCTACCCTTCTAAAGACCTCGACAATAACGTAACAAGATTCTGAAAACCGTAGGAGCTACTTTGAAGCCTACTAAAATGGAGAATACCGCTGAGTTACTGCGCACTCACTTCACTTTAACTCCTCGTGCCCAGTTTTAATATAATTATAATTTTATTTTTTTATTTATTTCTCGACCCTCTTCCCCCAACTTCATGATATACCCCGGTGCTCCTTAGCGAAAGAAAATAATTTTGTGGTTACTTTTGAGAAATGGAAATGACAGCCCCACACCGAAAAGCGGAAGATTTGCTGGAAATGAACGCACACACTGTGGCCCATGTGAGAAAAGCGCAGGAAAGTGGAATAAATTACAAACTCTTTCTTTTCTCTTGCATCAATCTAAAGGACTGCTTTCAAGTCATAGAATCAAAGCAGAAATCTAAATAAGCATTTCAAGTGTTAAACTGGTTATAAGACACAATTATACAGAAATAGAAATAATTTAAAAACAATCATTTTATGCATCAGTCCGTGTTTTTTTTCCCAAAAGAAATATTTTGACAATGGGTAAAGGAAGAGGAAGTCTCAGTAACCTTCTTTGGCTAAGTGAGGTTAAAAACTTTTCTATTGTTACCACTCTGAATTGGTTACCTTTGTCTTAAAATAGACCTGTGACCCTATATACCGATCAGTTTAACACGTACGTGATCATCTTTTTGGCGCCAAACAAAGGGAGATAACACGCTTTGAAAGTGACCCGTATAAGAATCCGGAAAAATAAAAAAAAAACCTCTTGATTCGATAATCAGTGAGTGGTACTTTACGCTAGCGCCTTATAGAATGAGGAAATCTGCGACTGAGACTCGTCTCCGAAGCCCAATGGTTTGAACAAAATTTTTATTCCTCCCTTCCATGAGAAGTTGTCCCCTGTGTGGCGAGCGTGTCCTGTATCAGCTGAACCAGGTGGACAAGGCGGCAAAGCATAATGGGTAACATCAACAACATGCACAAAGCAGAGACTTCACTTTTTGCTGAAAATTCGCTTTTTCCTCAGTTGATCCCCGGCGTTCACGCTGACTAGGCATCAGGATGTGCTGAAACTCATGCAGGGTTCATAAGGTTTTTTGTGGCGCTACAGTACGTTGATTTGGTCGCAATGGTTAAATTAAACGGGGTAAAAGATCAAAGGACTACCGATTCGGCGCCAAGCTTAAGTTCGAGTAGCAATGGATTGATATGTTTTATTTGTGGAGCGTCTAATGCAAACTGGCCTCTCTACTGCAGATCTCGAAATTCCGAGAAAATGCCGTTTTTCCCGTTCTTGGAGTATCATGTGCCGTCCGATGGTGCTAGACCGGTCGATAAAACAAGCGGACAGGTCGATTCCTGTACGGTGTGTTTTTCCTTTCTCACTCAACAATGGCATGCTTTCGAAGAGAGCGCCACTCCAGTTATAAAGCGAATTTACTGGCTTAAAAGGTCGGGTCCTGATTCAAGCGGAGAAAGACCTCAAAGCCCTGTTGAGAACAACCTAGTGAGGGGCGAAGAAACAATAGCTGGCAATAACAACATCACAGTGGCAGGAGAGAATTTATATGATAACGAAAGTTCAGAGTTGTACCCGGCTGTTCATGGAGAACTTGCGGAAGGTAATTTTCATTCAACCACTTCAGACGTGGAAAACGTCAATCCGATTTCCGAAGACTCAGCTGGGCCTTTGGTGGAGAATTCACCGCTAACTGCCATTTCTCATCGTTCTGTAGGCCTTGAAACATGTTACATCTGTAGCAGGAGAAAGCCGAAAGAATTCATGAGAAGTGTACACACAAGACCGCAGCTTAAAACCGAGACACCGTTTTATCCCTGTCTTGCACGACACGTTCCTCCCACGATCGCAAAGCAAATGGACTACCTGGGTAAAGTTCTTGTCTGTGAGGCTTGTCAAAAGTTCTTATTTCGTCAATGGCAAGTCTTTCAGAAGAATTCCACTCCATTGAGTGAGAGACAGTACCAATTAAGATCTGACCCCTCCCTTCCTAGGGAGCAGCAGTCTCAGTTGTCAACTATGGTTTGTTTTGTCTGTGGAGTCACACAGCCTGCAACATCGGGAAGATTTCTGTATTCACGAAAACATGCACTGGGACACCCTTATTATCCATTTCTGAACAATCTACCCACTCCAGAGGGAGCCATGCCATTAACGAAACAAGGGTTGACTAGAGCCTGCAGTGGTTGTCGTAAGTCACTCCATAGGCAGTGGAAACACTTTGAGGCTGCTGGGATTTGTGAAGACAAGAGGGAATATAGAATTCGTAATGAGGTTATGGTTCAGTCAGCTGGAAGTACAACAGAGGTGTCTGAGACAATGGCTAAGATTGCTTGCTACACTTGTGGCCAGTATTGTTCTGAATCTGACTTACGACCTGTTCACACGAAAGCAAACACCAATCCTCTCAAAGACAACTTCTAATTTCCATTCATAGCATCACTGACACCTCCAAAAGATAGCAGACCCCTGGATGCTGAGGGCTCCACATTTCTATGCAAGAAATGCCACAAACATTTAAGGTCTGAGTGGGAAGAGTTTGAACAAAGTAAAAAACCTCAAGGTGAACGTTCTTATGCAGTAAAACTAAATCCAGTAATCACAGAGGATCTAGAGATTTTTGCAGTTTGTTTTCTGTGTGGTCTAAATGTTAATTCATCAGTTCATTTTAAGCTGTATTCCTACCCACACAGTGGTAAGGATGTCCACGATGGAGGCCCCTTCTTCCCTTTCTTGTCATCTCGAGAACCTGCTATGAATGCTCAACCTTTAGATGATGAAGGAACTGCTCTTACATGTCAGATTTGTTATCATAACCTTATGATGCAATGGAGTGCTTATGAAAGTTCTGACATTCCTGAAGAATCCAACAGGTGGCTACGAAAGTATTTGGTATCAACCATAAACTGTTATCTGTGTTGCAAACAAGTTTCAAGGTTTGCATCTGGGGCTGTAAATAAACAGGTGATATCATTTCCCTCCAATCACCAGCCACCAAAAAATGGAATTGTGGTTAATAATGGCAGAGATGTTGTCTTGTGCAACAAATGTCAGCGAGAAGTTCAAAGAGACCTGGAGGCAATGGATGATTGTAATGGTGTAACAAGCAGGCTTGTGTGGGAATGGGATAATCAAGATGCAGACAAGGTAAGAGTGGTTCATATAACTTGTACACAACATTTTGTCAAGTGTGTTTGAAAGTTTGCCATTACTTGTTTGTGATCCTGAGAAGTGAGAAACATGGCAAGAAGAAAAGTTGTCATCGAGGTGATCCTCACTAGCTGGGCTAGGACTTGGTCTTGTTGATAACTGTTTTAACCATCTCGCTCGTCCTCCACTTAGAAGACCTTACCATATCTTTCAAATTTGACTGATTCCAGATGACTTCTGTGTATGTTATGCCCTTATAATCTGCCCTTTTGAAAAATAATTGATTTGTTCGGAAATATTTAATCACCTTTTTATTTTAACTATATAATTATATTTAATAATTGTTTGAAATTGCAAAATTCCAAACCCCTTTTTAAAGAAGATTTTTTTTTTTTTTTAAGTTGAAAGATTCTCTATGCAGGTCAGTAGATCAAAAGAGAATTGTGTAAGTTAAAGAAGAAGTATTTGGCATCGCATACAATTTTGAGAAAAAAGGACCATAGAATAGACAGTTGTCTTCATGATAGGAAATTCTCAGCAGATGTTTCAGTTGAGCTTGCATTAATTTGGAGATATTCAATATTATAAAAAGCCAAGTATTTTAAAAAGCTCAAAGTTAAGATTTGTGATGAGCAGTAGTTTTATAGACATCTTGCAGTAAACTTCAGAAACTACTTTTTTTTCTCTTGAGGAAAAAAAGAAAAAAAAATGAAGTGAGAATTGCATTTTACAAATGAAGTATTTATATCTGTATGGATTTTCATGGCGAAATTGTATTACTTTTCAAGTAATTTTGTTTTCCCCAATTTTTTTCGATCAATTTTGAGTACAGATGTTTGACTTTTGATGAGCCATCAACTGAATTGAATTTTATATTTACAAGACCTTCGTGTGGAGGGATTGTGTTTTGCTGACCTATCACTTTATTGAATTTGTGTAATTACAGCTCTCATTTCTTGTTTTATAACATCAACATCATGCCTCACCAGAGTTAAACAGTTGCTATTATTGAATATTAAACATTGGTCTGCTGAGTCAACTTTTGTCATCTCTGTGTTAGAATTTGAGAGGAATGTTGGGAAAAAGAAAACCATGGTGGGCTTTAGGAGCAACGAGAAAATGGACTTGTGTTAGTTTTGAAATGATTTTGGGACATAGAATTGATGTAAACAAGTGACACCTTGATTAGTGATTGAAACAAGTTCTCCCTGGAAAATTAAGCAGTATCTAGAATGGACAGTATTGAGAATTTCAATGCAACTCTGTTTCCTTTGTCTTGTTTTATTAAATTGTCAGATTAGATATTCTGATTGGTTATTTCTGAGGAAAGTATTAAAAACCCTTTAAGTGTCTTTTTTTTTTTCAACTCTTAAATTTACAGTGTAATTCTTAGCTTGACTAATTTTGAGACAAGATGGATGCAATGCAAACAAAAATCAATGAAGATGAAATTTTTATTCCTGGCTGGACACCCTTTTTTTTTTTTTAAGGAATTACAATCACAATCATCATACAACAAATAAATGATTTGTGCCTTGAAATCACATGTATACACAAATTGCATGTTGTACCTTTTTTTTTTGTTTAAAGAGGCTATTTATGCTACGCATATTTTATGCTTTTAACAATGTGGAATTTTTTCTGAGTTAGAAAAAAGAAACTGCATTGTATAACAATTTTTGTGATTAAATTAGCTTCAAGTGATACTGGTAGTGCTGAGACGATAGCATTGATCAAAAATTTGACTTGAAAAGTAGAATTTTCTTTTTGTAGTGAATACATATATCTTATAAACCAAGTGCGAGGGCTGTACTGGGAGAATATCGGCCTGAGGTTTTGACAGTACGGACTGAGCGCAGTGAGGTCCATACAGAAAAGACCGAGGGCCGATATTCTTCCAGTACAGTCCTGAGCAAGCTTTGTTAATAAGAGATTTATTACACGACTGAAGTTCAAACGGGCACAAGTGCGGTATCATTCGGGACCATTCGGGACAGTGCCCGGTCCAATACTGAGAGAATATTGACCGGCAATAGAGCATTTTGATTGGTTGATTTTAGTTATTGGCCATCTGACTTCCCGAGTCGTGTAATAAATATAGTTAGTTAAGTATTGTGGAACAAAATCACTCTGACTTATTATATTTAAATACCTCAAAGAATCTAGGAAATGTTAGTCAATTAGACAAGTAAGAATTATTATTTTGAGTAATTGAATTTAGGAATACGTTTGTGTACAAATTATTGCTTTTAGATCAGGCTGACTTAACAATAGTCAAGATTGAATTAAACATCCGAAAAAACTTGTCATTGGGATAAAACATACTCACAATGAGCAAACAAAACTGTATGCTATCAAAGGATATGCACTGTGCCTCCTTTCATCTGCTAATTACACAAAAATATTTGTATGCATTCCTTATTAGTTAAGATAAATTTTGACTTCTAAATGGAAGGATTTCTTAGCCATATGCTGTGGCAATGTATTAGATATCACAGTAGCTATTGGGCCAGTGGTTTTGGCTGACGTAAACACTATAATGAATTCAGTACTCTTTCAGACCTCTCTAGGCAAACATAAAGGTGGTTGTTAACGCGGTTGGTTAATTGTGGTGATTTGCATTTGAAAAGAACAATGAAGAACAGGTGGCATTTGTAAAATAAGAAAGCAACACCTAGCTTCTGGTAGAATTTAGCTTTCTTTTAGTGGAGATTTAGTATCTCTGATCTGGTTCAATTGTTTTGGGTTTGTTCTTGTGAAACACAAAGGTTCCTAGAGCAGTCTTTTGTTTTTGTTGATACAAGCATGAGAGAGCATGGTTCAGTTTGGCTTCTCTTGTTAAATAAAGAAGCAATACATTGAATGAATAATTAATAAGAGAAGATAATATTGAGCTTGTTGGTGCAAGAAGTTTTTTCAATGAAGAAAATCAGGCTTGAGGAAGGTATTGTCATTTTTTTGATGTGTTCATGTTAATCTTTAGTGCTAAAATAGTCTCTCCCCTGGGTAAATGGTTGTAGTTATCTTTGATGAGACTCTCAGGGTTACAATTTGATATACTGAATAAGTTTTGTTGTTATGAACAATAGGGAAGCAATAGGTACCAGAACAAAACCTGCTAAAATGCTTTGCATGACATTAACTGAGATTATTGTCTCAAAACGTTTTCAATTCATCTTAAAGCTGGTGTTTGGAGAGGACATATGGCGGCTTATGCTAATCAAGCCAAGCCAAAATTAGTGCCTGGAGTAGTAGGCTTTAATTTTGCACCAAGCCGTTATTATATCAGCATATATTAAGCTGCTGAATATCATTAAGGGAATCACTGACAGAAATCAGCCTCTAACATGAGAAAAGGTTAATTCTTTCTGCTTATGCTTTAATTAGGAGACATTTCCCAGAGGTAAGGCTCAGTTCTGAGCAGTTCTTTCAAGGATAATGAATAGAGAAAGGCAGTTTATGCAAGGTGTTGTTTTAGGCTGAGATGGCACATGTGAAAAAAAAATAATTCACCCATGACTTCAGTCAAGTCCTTAGACTTAAATGGCTTCCAATATTTCTTTCAATGATAATTTGCTGAATTTCCTTCCTGTGAGGAGTATTAGTTGGTTATTTTTTTTAATTGAGAATCTGTTGTTATGAACCACATGTCTTGGGTATTTCCAACATGAGGTTTATCTATTGTTTGTCCTTCCTTCATCGTAGTTGGTAATTTATTTGGGGAAAGCTGATCATTCTAATTGCAAATTTCTAAATTATAAATTTATGGTGTGTGTGTCATTGTTCACAAAACCTTGAAAATAAATCTTGATAGCAGCCAACTGCAGTATTTAATTCAAAAGGAACATTAGAAGGAAGTGGTCATTTGTGATCACTTTTGCTTGCAATCATGAAAAAATATTAAATTACATTCAACGTACTTCTGACCACTGTGACACATGAAAGGTTAGTGTTGGTGTATTTTTTTGCAAGAGAATCATGGCAGTCTATATGCTTATCCTAGAAATTATTGTTTTACTATCCCAAGGACTTCTTTATCAATGCGTTTACTTCAATATCTTATAAAGCATGTCATAGAAAACATGTTGTGATTAAAAGCTGTTGTGTGAGATGATATGTTGATGCAAAATTAATGGTCTTTACAATAAGATGATATTGTGAATCTTATACATTAAAAGCTGAAAGTAGTTAAATAGGTGTTGAAATTTCTTCTGGGGCCAAGATGGGTTGTATTTTGAATTAATCTATACATTTTTGGGAGATGCTGTAAAGGAAAAATTAGAGCTTTTCTTCAGTTATGAGCATAAGATTTCTTTTGTCTATTGTTTGAAAATCAGATATAAATTTGCATGATTATTTCCACATGAGTTAATAGCGCAATGTTAAGCTGTACTATATAACTCTTGCTTTATTTCTGTGTCAAAAATCGATTTTAAATCACAAATGGTCCATCTGCCTAGGGGCTGGTAACTATTTTGGTATTAAGTTCTTTTGTTTGCAAGAAAACTTCAATCAGCATATGTGACTGTTTATCTTTATACAGTTCATTGCTTAAGGTGGTTTAAAAATACTTTGACCCCTAACATGTTGCCAGGTAAGATATGTCAGCACTTTTCAGCTGAGACCTAGACAAATTGTTCATTAAAATGATGTGCTCTAGATGATGGTTTTTCCTGCTTCTCATCAATAATGTTATATTGGTGTTTCAAAAATAGATCTGTATTTATCACTGTCTAGAGAAGAAGTGGGAACTCTTTGCCCTGGTATACATATTGTGAGTCAAGGGTTTTGTAGAGCATGGATCATGTGTTAACCCTGTTAGTCCCAGGAGAGCCTAATATTTGACTTCTCCTTTCGCAACCAATACATTGTCTTGCCGAGAGTTGATAAGAAGGAAGAACAATCTCAACTTGGGGATATCATTTGATTTAAAAACCAAAATCTCAGTGATAAAAGTATAAGAAATGTATGGCAGAAAGTGCAGAGAAGTGATACTTTTATATTGGGATTGAAAGTTTAATATTATTTTCAGATGGTTGTTCTGACAAATGAATTGAACCACAAAATAGATATGACGTCAGGCTCCATTTTAGTTTTTAGAAGTTAGGAAGGGAAGAAAGTGAGATTTGGTTCACTATGATTTGCTTTTAATCCTTTACACCGTAACATCAGTATGCATATTCTCCATACTGTTCTCTACACATTTCCTAAGGTGGTGACAAGGAGAATTTGTTTTGTTAATAATCATTTAACACTCAAGAGCTTTTTACTGAATTGGCAATCATTTTCTTTCTTTGTATGAATTTTGTATTTAACAATTGAGCTTTTTAAATTGGCAATCATTTCCTTTCTTTGCATGAATTTTGCATTTAACGATCAAGAGCTTTTTAAACTGGCGATCATGTCCTTTCTTTGCATGAATTTTGCATTTAACTATCAAGAGCTTTTTAAAATGGCGATCATATCCTCTCTTTGGATGAATTTTGCATTTGAGTCAAGAGTGATACTGACCGGAGAAATACGAAGCCAGTCACTCTTAGAGATTAAAGAGCAAATCAGGTTTTTGGTAGTGGAACCCCTTGTACTCAATACAACAAAACTAAGCAAATCCCATTTTGCTTGGGTAGGATTGCTCTAAGAACTAATTTTGGTGTTATTTTCAAGGGAAAACCCCTCAATTTGATAAGGTTGTCAATTTTTGTCACCTGCTTGCTTGATAATATATCGAATTAACGAAGAGAAATTGCCTTTTAATCATATTTGAGGGTCAAAGGGCTGAGATAATTTCTTTATTAAGAGAAGATATACTTTACCCCTCTCCTGGGTCAAAACAATTACAATAAATGATTATTCAAACCATGCCATTCATGCTTGTCCTCGGTTTTCTTATTCATAGAATCCTCTGGAGAGTGAAGTCAAAGGCCAGAAATCCAGCCAGGGACGTGTTATAGTCATTGACTCCAGCGAGGATAGTGAAGGTGATGGTAGCTCGTCCCAGCTGCAAAACAAGAAAGTGAAATTGGGCTCTATTAGTTCAAATGCGTCCCCCATGCACTATACAACATCTCTGTCACCTGGATTGCAACCTGCCGTACACAATAAAGATTCTACTCCCGCAACAACTGACTCGTCAATGTCAGGAGGTCAAGCCAGTTTTGCAGCAGCACTACGAAAACTAGCAAAACAAGCAAAACCAGTTCCCCCATCAGCCTCTTCTCCTACTCCATCTGACAGCAGCTCTCATTCCGTTTCACCAAGTGTCTCTGCTATCAGCACAAAAAGTGCAGGTATGTGATTTTGTTAACCTTTTGAGCCACAATCCTCATGACAATGTCTTTGATAAATAAAATTCCATTCCAATTCGATCTGGAAACCATGGATAAGAAGAGCCACCCAGTGGATGTCCATTGCTAAATAATAATAATTATTATTATTATTATTATTAATTATTATTATTTATTATAAACCTCAACTTGATTTTATTTAAGAATCAACCAGGAAAAAATTTGAACAAAATAATTAATAGAATGTGGCTCCTTAAACATAATTACATACAATGAACAAGTTAAAATTTTTGGCAGGCATAATTATATTTAGTTCTCTAACTCTCTTCATCTATTTTTATTTTTTTAAAAAGTTTAACTTGTTAATTAATCAATTCTAGTCTCCTTACCTGATTGCTGAATTATATCTTAATACCACAAAGAGAGTTTACATGTTAATTGCCCATCTTTGTTATCAGGCATGTCTCCATCAAGAACTTCGCCGCCATCAGGACAGTCAGAAATTAATGCAAAAGACAAAGGAGGTGGCCATCAGAGTCCAGGAGTAATTGGTGTGCACACACCCCCTGTTCAGTCTGCCCCTGTTGTGGATCCAGATCACAGAAATCACCGAGCAGGTAGAGTGAAACGTCTTTTTCAGAACACACTTTGAGATTCAAGGGTTTTTTTTTTTTTTCTTTAAAAGGGGAAGTTGTGCATGTGAGAACAAAGTGTGTTACCCGAGAGTACAAAAGCCTTGAGTCAAGTATTCTAACCACAACACCATTTTGTCTCTCATAACTTTCTTTCTTTAGCCTCCTGGTCACTTTTACAAAGTGTATTTAAATAAACACATAATGTGGTGCAAATGTGAAGACAGGTATCAGGCAGTACTCCCTGTCTAGTCTGATTTTATGATTTCCTGTTTAAAAGAAAATTGTCTTACAAAAGAAATCAAGTTCTAGATACAGTTAATCATTAAGCAGAGCATAAGTATTGCAAATATCCCAATCCAACTTAGTATAGCATTAGTCAAGAATGCTTTTTTTTTTTAATTTCAGCTGTGTAAATTTGTTATGAAAATTCTTTTAACTTATTTTTCCCCTCAGTTTTACTGTTAACTGATGTTGAAAGGAACAACTGTTACAGTCATTTTTGACACACACTATAACCATAAGCGTTTCTCTGCAGCAAAAATAAAACAAACTGTGATGAATTTAGGAAGGAAAGCTCAAAACTAACTTTATGCCCTCAAGCCCTTCCCCCTTCCAGTTAAAAATGTAGATTTGCAAATGCTCTACAAGTGATTCCATTTGGTAACATATGTTTCACTTGTGTGAATTTGAAACAGCCCTTTACGAAAAAAGTGCCTATTTTATATCTATTTTATATCTATTTTTAAACTATTTTCTACCTATTTTTTGTGTATTTTTTCTCTTTTTAACCAGACTATTTGAAAGCTGTTTTTTAACTATTTGAAAGCTATTATTTTGAAACAAAAAATAGTAAAAAAAATAGTCTGGTTGGCAAGTCATAACTGCTGTAAAAATAGCTTTAAAATAGAGAAAATGCGCATGCAATTCATTGATAAAATAGTATTAAAATAGCATTAATGAAATATTAGTTATAAGATAAAATAGACATAAAACAGGGATAAAATAGAAAAAAAAACCAAAAATAGGATGTAAATACATTTAAAATAGACATGAAATAGGAATAAAAGAGGAAAAAACTTGAAAAAATAGGAATCAAATACCTATAAAATAGACATAAAACAGGGATAAAATAGACAAAACAAGGACAAAATAGACATAAAACAGGGATAAAATAGACGTAAAACGGATAAAATAGGGAAAAAATCTAGAAAAATAGGATATAAATACATTTAAAATAAGTCCTAATGTATATGTCATGCAGGGTAAAAGGGTTTAAAATAGCACTTCCAGTGTATGGATCCAGAATAAGGTGGTTATAAAATAGGTTGAAAATAGGTGAAGATCAAAAAAGCATATCCCAATCCTCAGCCTAGGATTATCACTTTTGTCTGTTAAGTTGTAGCAATTTTCCCATTGCAAATGATTTAATGATCAATACTTCATATGTTTATGCAACAACCTCTCTCTAGACTAGATTGCATGCATTACATGAAATTAAAAAAAATTGTCACTCAGGAAAGACCAAGTTTTAAACAATGCCATTAACTTACTTCAGTCTTCAATCTGTATCCAAAGGAAGTGACAACAAGTACTTTCAGTTTACATAGAAATGATAGGATACAAATTTTTCATAAACAATAGAAAACAGAATTAAAGTAGAATTAAATTTAAAAAGCAAAGTTTGTCGTTGCATTTAGATAGCTGCAGTGGCTTCCTCTTTGTGGTTTCCCTGTGTTTCACTGTTTTCCTGTACTCTGAAATAAAAAACAACAGAAATGATCAATAACTGATATGTCATCCACCAGTAGGTAATTTACTGTTAGAAAGATTAATTTGCTGAATAATTCCCTTGTGATAAGGGTTTCCTTGATGCAAAATGATGTAATTCACTGAATTGAACAGGTTTTGATAACTTTTCTGTACTGCTTCAGTAAAACTTATGGCTTAAATTCATACTTCTAGGGCAAAAATTAGTCAAGTTGATATAGTTG